GGCACTACATGGCGGACACCGAGGTCACGCTGGTCTTTTGGATCCAGAAGCATCCTCTTCGTCCTCTGAGTCTGAAGGGGGCGACAAGGACAAGAAGGGCTACAAGGCCGTTCCAACTGAGGATCCATCTTCACCTGCTTTGAAGGGTGGTTCCCAAGGCTCACGCCCTGATGGTTCACGACCTGGCAGTGCTCGAGCTGGAGAAACCCCTGGTCTATCGATCACCGACTCCTTCATCCTCATTCAACTACGAGGATGGCGGCTTCTCAGCGGTGCAGCTCTCAGCAGCGAAGAATGGAAGCGAAGAATGGAGGTCCATTTTTGGCCTCAACCAAGAACCAGCTGGACTACGACAGCGTTCGGGAAGCCCTCACGGTTTTGTTCGATGAGCAAATTACCTACACATGGCACTCCGCACTTCTTCAACATGGCGGAAGAGGACACCGGGGAGATGAAGATTGGTGGGATGATGGAACATCCTGGGCGGCTACTGCCTGGGAAGAGAGTTCCGAATGGCCCGTTGCAGATGTCTTTGGGTTTGACTCAGGGCTTCACTTCTTTAGGGTCTTTTTTGATTTTTGCTTAGGGCTTCACTCCTTTAGGGTTTCTTGCGCTTGGGCTTAGGGTTTTGCGTCTTTAGGATGTCTTCGGGTCGGACTTAGGCCTCACTTCTTTAGGGTCCCTTTTGGTTTTGCGGGCTTCGCTCCTTTAGGGTTTCTTTGGTCTTGGCTTAGGGCTGCACTTATTTAGGATGTCTTTGGGTTTGACTCAGGTCTTCACTGTGCCAATAACCAATGAGGTTCATCAAATATCTGATTCTCTGTCCTCCTGAAGTTTTTCCTGCTTTGAGCCCATAGCAACTTTCCATCTAAGTGTCTCAGTTGACCAACTCCTCTCTTTGTTTCTTTGTCACAAGTTGGCGTGAACTTGATGAATCTGTGAAGATGTAATGGCCCGCCCCAAGAGCAAATTCCAGAACTGCTCTGATATATGTATAAATTCCATCTGGCGCTGTGGACACTATTGCGCGTAGTTCTGCTTCACACGAAGACAGACTGATGTCTGTGTTCTGCTGCTGTTGAACAATGGACAACTATGGGAATGTCTCCAAGCACCAATAGCCTTCTTCAAGTATCCTAAGAATTTCTTCCAGTGATGAAATGACACATAGCTGTAGGGTTTGACATCCTTGAAGCTAATTCCTTCACAGTAAACCCTACATCGTACCTCTCTTGACATAGGTAGATACCTGATCCAACAATGCCCCTGGAAAGGCTAACCTTTTCTGGCTCCTGCGAGACTTCTGACTTGTCTTCCATCTGGATTGAGTTGTGCTGATAGTCGTTGAAGTTTCACTAATCCAATCTGTTCTTCATAGGCTTTCAACATCTGCTGGATGTAGTTGCCTGGTTGGGTCCATAGCCCATCAACTTCTAGTTTGTTCTTTCCAGGAAATTGAACTCATCTCCAACCCTCTCAATCTTGCTCACGCTGGTGTCAAATTTGCCTTGGATCTTTGGAATTTGTCCTCTTCCACTTCATCAGCTACTCTGTCAATCCATTCTTCTGGATCTCCTTCTGGTTCATGTTCTCCACCACGCCACAAACGTTCAGGTTGATTGATTTCTTCAAAGCCTGAGTCATTCTCTTCTTCACCATCCCACTCTTCTACACCAACTTCTTCTGAAACTGGTGATACCTCTTCATCTGCACGGTAAAGATCTTCTCCCCCAACTTTCACCACGTTGATCTTGGCCTTCTTGCTTGAATCATCTGATGGCCTGAGTTTCTTCATGGAGCTTTCCTCCTCAAGCAATTCAAACACTTCTCTTGGTCTTGATGGTGCTGATGGCGATCTCAATGAAGATAGGATAGGGGTAGTTGGATTTGGCTAGGGAAATGCATTCACCTTCTCAAGTGTTTTCCCCCAGATAGCGAAGCTATAGGGGTTCTTACTTCTCAATGGATGGGTTCCTGATTGCGGAAATTGGCTGCCGCTGCCGCTTTGTCTCCCAAGCTTGTCTCTCTCATGATTTCGCTCTTGGCTGCCGCTGCCGCCTTGTCTCCCAAGCTTGTCGGCCGCTGCCGCCTTGTCTCCCCAAGTTTGTTTCCCTTCATGATTTCGCTTTTGGCAGCCACTGCCGCCTTGTCTCTCAAGCTTGTCTCCCTTCATCGCTAATAGGTTGCAGGCCATCGCTAGCAAGTCGGATGGAGGTCGTTGCTAGCAGGTTGGAGGCCATCGCTCTTAGGAAAAAAGGACGTCTGATAGATGTTTTCGCTGCGGAACTTGCACGGAACTCGACTCAACTGCTGTGACCAGTGAGTCGGACCCTATCCGGGTCCAGCCCTGTGACTTGTCACGTGGCCCCACATGCGGACTTTAGTCCCAAAAGCTCTTCGGCATTGCGAAAAGCGATGTTCTCCCAGTCTTTCTGGGGCAAATCCACAGTTTGGGACAAATTGTTAAACCAGCCTGCCCCTTCTGAGATATTTTCATAAGGAGTATCGATGGAAAACATGACGCGTTCAGACCCCATCACAGACAAGGCATGTCGAAATCCAGGTGTGTCAAACACGCCGCTGGTGGTGATATGGAAGTTCTTGCGCAAATACCAAGTGACATTGTGCTTGCGCTTGTACAGGCCATTCTCGGGACAAGGATACAATTTCATATCAGGCCCCGTGTGGCATGACACTGACTCTGGCGTCCAGCCCTGCTTCTTCAGCCGGTGGTCAATGCGCCTGGCAGAAAGAAGGGGCGTGATTCTCAATTGTTGATCATCAGCCATAATACGGTTTACCCGTCTACTAAAAAGAAGAAACACAGGCAAAGCAAACATGTCTGTGGTTCCATGCCATCCATATCAATATCTCTCCATCGTGACCCAAAATGAACTTCACATTCGGAAAATTGTCGAAGAATCCAGAGAGGATGAAGCGCAGGGCATGCTCAGCTGTTTCGACATGAAAACCCCATGGTGAGAACCGCATCTCTGGAAATTGCGAAAAGAATCGGCTGGGCTCGGCTTCACGAGGGTGCAGGTAGATGGGTTTGCCAGAGCTCTGGACAAAGTCCCAGAACGCATCATACTCCTGCAAAATGGAAAACCATGAACAAGCATGGGTTGGCAGCTTTACGCGATCTTCTAGAATGTAAGACTTCTACATGAAGTACTCACCTACAAGAGTGTTTCATCATCACGTTGGCAATGCTTGGTCAGGTGTTATGAAGATCTTCCAAAAAAGGTGACAACATATAGATAGGATAATGTCGGACCCGTATCTGTATATGTATACAAAGTTTATACGTTGTCCCGCCAACCCCTTTTTTCAAATGTGTGCCAATGGTTCCCTTTCCAAAACCTCTTGGAGCTGGACATCAATGTATATACAAACACAAGACCTCCTTGCGCAATGCGCGCCCCATTCTTTGTAAACACTTCCTTTCGCGAAAAGGTTCCCATCTTTTAACATCTCATCGTTTAAAAAAACTGTTCCTTGCACACAAATGTTTTTTACGCGTCAGCTTCTTTATAATATCAGAGCATCACTGCATCACCTTGTTGTTTGGACGTGTCATGTCCAGTATCAGCTCCATCAAACATGTATATAAATGCCCCTTCATGATGGAGCCGTCGTCGTATAAAAAACGTTGCCCGTGCGACAAACTGGAAACCTCACGGAAAACAATTCACGAAAACTACAAAAAAGCTTCGTGGAACGATGTTTGGATCTTATTGGGCACCTTGGGCGCGTAACAAGTTTCTTTAAGCATAGCATGTCATTGAAGGATGTCATTCTCGACACAAGAAATTCATTTCCCAGTTAACCAACCATTGTTTCAAGAAGTGGATGTGGACAGCGGAAAACAAGGGACAAATGCAGGGCTGGAGCTATCGACTTGCTGCTAGAATCTCGAGCGCTTAGGAGTCTTTGCGACTTCCAAATGCATTCAACAAAAATCTTGCTACACATGTGGGAACTAGGATGTAAGAGTCCCAACTGTCCTGCGCATTTTAGTTCTTCGTTTCCAGGTGTTCTTACATACTTAGCGTTTGGGAATACCAAATTTCCTACGTATTTGAACCAAATATCAAAGGCAACTCCATCTTCTGTGCCACCCGCCCGCTAGTCCCACAAAATACCTGCACAACTTATAGGATCCAGTTTGAAGAACACACTTAATACACATAGAAATGCGCACACATGAATATATATACATATATGTATATAGGCAAACCCCCATGTTCATCCCAACCATAGGAGACACATATCTCAAACATACCATATACGCAACTCATCGCCACCCTGCTGGCGCATATCTTCGGCGTCTACTGACCACCAGTCCTCGGTGATGTAGTAGTTGAAATCACCCCCAGTGTTGGAAGTGTCATAGCCGTTGATCAAAGCACCCACCGACCCATGCTGCAGGCACTCTTCAAACTGCACGATTGATGCCTTGACAGGGACGAGGTGGAACCCGCCCGCCCAAAATGCCGAGGTGTGTACTTTGGGCACGTGACACATCAGTTTTTCTTAGCAAGCACTGAATCACCATAGTTTTGGCTAGCGGTTGTCTTTTTGCCTCTTTAACTGTGGAGAGTCTGGCGTTCGCGCAACCTGGCTAAACCCCTTTCGGCGGAGGTCATGGATGGACGGAAGGAGGGAGGGATGACTTGGCACCCTCTTTAAGGGCTCATGTTCACATCCAAGACTTCACATGGGAGCGCCAAACATTGGAAAGGGTGAAGTGCAAATGGGTGGAACCTCAAAGATAGCTCCGCTACAATAACAACTTGCCAAAAGCCAGAGAAAACCTTCGATCACACACATCGACATAATGCGTACTGAAATTGAACGCCACATGCCACATGCCCACCTAGGTGTGAACGCCTAAGAAACCAAGGTAAAGTATGTAACACGGCTTGACCGTGAACCTGAAGGTCTGCGCAATCCAAAGGAATGAGCTCCAAGAAGTCAACGAGCATTCGAGCGGCGAGCACGTGTCTGCAGAACTCAAAACAGGTGCAAAGGCTGGCAATCTTGTTGTAGTTAGAACGGGGCCCAGTGGGCAATGAAAAGTCATCACTGAAGCAGGTACGTCATCAGGCGTCCCTGATGATATCCTAGGAGCGTATGACGATGGATGCAGCCTCATACGTCCTCCCCATCCCCCTGCAAAAAACCGAGAGAGGTTCCCTGTGACTCCAAGGGTTTCACACACACTCAAGATATTGCGTACGGAAATGAGCGTCGCTCGCCAAACGGCAACCTAGGTATGAACGCTTAATGAGATCTAGCCAGCTTAGCCGTCGAAAACTTGAAGTTCCAACAGGCGAAAAACCTCCAATTGGCAACTGCACAGCGGTCGGGCTCCTTAACATGCAGAACCGAAGCCAAGAGAAAGGTCTTTTTCCCGAGAGCGCCTGCGAAGGGTTCTTCGTAAAAAACATCTGCAGAACTACGTCTCAAGTACATCTTCACATCTTCACCTCTGCACATCCACATTCTCACCTATATCTCTGCTCATCTTCACATCTGCACATCTACATCTCTGCTCATCTTCACATCCTCGCATTTACATCTCAGCCCATCTTCATCTTCACACATCTACATCTCTGCTCATCTTCACATCTGCACATCTACATCTCTGCTCATCTTCACATCCTCACATCTACAGCTCACACCTGAGAAGCTGCAAAACGAAAGCCAGCGCTTCCCTTTCTCGACAAGTGTGCATCGAAGCAATCAAATGAGCTCGCGCAGCCGCTTGCGGCCGCGTGTCAAACCTGCTTCATGTCTTGTTCTGCCGACACATAGGTAACCCTTTTGTTCAAAGAAACAGTTTTTCAAGCTAAATTCAAGGCGGCCTGAGACCAGGCGTTGTGGTTGTGATGACTCGTGGTGGCTTACGGCGGCTTCCATTTTGGGACCACTATGCAGTCCTATAGTGACCCAGGGTAGCTATAGTGCAGCTACCAGGTATAGTACTTCAAGTTCCCTTTCCGTCAACCGCTCGATAACCTCTACACACGCACAGCAATCCACAGCTTTGAAGTCTCATTCGTGCTTTGAACTTGTATAGG